GCAAAAAAGCGATATTTGTATATACACACATACGTATGTATATATGTACATAGACATAGTAGCCGACTATCAACGCACGTTTCTGCACACTTGCAGCGTGTAATTAATTATAAAACCAGCTACAGCCGCTTACTTAACCCTAAAAAAGTATGTATATGTATATAAATTTTTGTATGTATACATATGACTTTCACGCCACACCACGATAATAGGAATATAACAATAAAATCACTATTGTTCATATAGAATTGAGGCATACCTACATACAACGTGTGTACGAGAAAGTATTATATATTGATCTTTCCCTTAGCAAATTAAGCAGTAATATCATACAGTTAGACGATAAACATGCATACATATATGTATTTATGTATATAGTCAAACTATCACTTAAGTAGTCAATCACTCAATGCAGTCAGCCCAAACTAAACACAAATCAGCAAACTCAATAGTGCTTAGTTTATTTTAAACAAATATGAATAAAAATAAACAAGTAAGGAAGGGCTAAGTTTTATAGTGCTACGCCTATTGCCCAGTTTTTCCCCCTACCCATATAAAGCCTTGTCAAACTATCGCGGTGGTAAATTTTTACGTCTCTGGTGCATTTAGCATCATATGAGGGGTTCCATCCGTGCTTAGTTATGGCACTTTATAAGTTTTCGGTTAATGGCGATTTTTGAGCGTGACAGTGATCCTATGTGAGCCTATCTACGAAATCTAACTTTTTTTTGCACTAAGAAAACCGTGTTCCAAGTTTCATTAAGATATCTCAATTTTTACTCAAGTTACAGCTTGCACGGACGGACGGACTGACCCAGATTCCAACTTTTCTCGACCCGGTTCATTTAGCAACCCATAATTATCTACGATTCCCAAGACAACCGATTCTTCGAACCGGATTTGACCCGGATTTTATTCGGCCAAGGGGTGTTTTTTCGGCAAGTGTTAACCACTAAATATTGCACGCGGGCTTATTCATTCATAAATGCCATTTAAATTAACAAATTATGTGTTCACTTCACTTAACACTTTTATGTAATTTAGAGTTAGATGGCAACCTGCGACAAATATGTGTGATTGTTTGTGTCCTGACTTCACATCATACTAATTTATTAATAGTGAGTAATGCTCCGGCTCGAAGGACTGGGAGGATGGAGTCATGTGTAGAAGTTCATGCAAGTGAGGAAAGTTCTCTGATCGCCATTCACTTGGGAGTGGCCAGAAACGATTATTTTACATATGACTCAAGCAGCTCACGACTTCCGGTCTTTGACCAAATATCCTCTGGCGAAACATCCCCTCCGCAGGGTTGTGCGCTGGGTTTAGGATCCGCCACGTAAAAAAAACACTACCAATGAAAAACTACCAACAGCCTCGGATGAGAGACCCCCTTTTTGATAACGACCATGGAAAACGAAATAAGGACTACGAATTTAGGGCATGCACCTGGAATGTCCGATCCCTTAATTAGGAAGGTGCCGCTGCCCAGGTGGTTGATGTCCTCGTGAAAATAAAGGCTGACATCATTGCCGTCCAAGAAATGCGATGGACAGGACAAGGACAGGGTCGAGTAGGTCCTTGTGGCATTTACTACAGTGGCCATTTAAAGAGCGCAAGTTTAGTGTGGGATTTGTGGTGGGAGAAAGACTCCATCGCCGAGTACTATCATTCACTCCGGTGAATTAACGTCTAGCCACAATCTGCAGCAAAGTGAAGTTCTTCAACATATCGTTGATTTGCGCCCACGCCCCGACGGAACAAAAGGACGATGTGACCAAAGATGCCTTTTATGAGTGCTTGGAGCGCACTTATGACAGCTCCCCGCCACGCTGTCAAAATCGTGCTTGGAGAATTTAATGCCATGGTGGGCAAAGAAGGTATCTTTGGCACTACGGTCGGTAAATTCAGCCTCCACGAGGAAACATCCCCAAATGGGTTGAGGCTGATCGACGTTTCCGTGGCCCAAAATATGGTTATCTGTAGTACTAGATTCTAGCATGAGAAGATAGATCAAGCTACCTGGCTGTTTCCGGATCGAAAAATCACCAACCAGATCGATCATGTTGTGATAGACCCTCCGAGATCCTAACATCGATTCGGACCACTATCTTGTTGCGGCCAAGATGCACACCCGCCTTGTTCAGCAAAAAATGCACGCCATCAAACACAAGGAAGGGTCGACGTCGAGAAGCTGCAATCACAACAGACAGCCGAACGATTTTCTACTCGACTTGCACTCCTGCTCTCTGAGAGCACTCGTCAACAACTCGGTATAAGGGAACTGTGGGAAGGCATTTCAAACTCAATACATATGTATGTAAAGCTGCAACCGAAACCATTAGTTTTTGGAAAGTGCAAAAGAACAACTGGTACGACGAGGACGAGGAGTGCCGTGTCGCAGCGGACAGAAAACAGGCTGCCTACCTCGCAACGTTACGATCGACCACAAGTATTCGACGCTGTAACCGCCGGGGGAAGCAGAGGAAGAGGAAGACCTCCACTCCGTTCTAAGGACCAGGTGGAGAAGGACCTGGCTACGCTTGGAATATCCAATTGGAAGAAAAGACTGCCGCGCTGTTGTTAACTCGTCTATAATCGCGTAAACGGTGTCTATGCCAATTAAGAAGAAGAAAAGTAATGCTACGGTACATCAATTCACACTTAAACTGATCTAACCCATTTTACAGTGTTTAAAATGCACACATTATAAAATAGTCAGCAATAGTCGTCGATCCCAACCATAATTTTGGCGTTGCTGTAGTGATCCGATAACGGCGATTTTGACATACATATGTATGTGCAACTTTTTGGGGAGCAAACGACGCGTGCAATGGAGATGCAAAAAAATAACATCTAGTCTAAAGAATCTCTTTTTCCTTTTGCCAGTTATAAAGTTCATGGCACACCCTATACCCTATAAAATAACCGTCCGGCGTATCAAAAAATTACACTTTAAAAGTAAATTAATAAGTAAAGGAACAAAACAAGCGAAGTTAAGTAGTTTGTTATGATAAGCTTCATGGAAACTACAAAATTATGTGAGACTATTATTTCTTTTTGAAATAATAAGAAAAATGAAAAATGCCTTTATACTATCCATATCTTAGAAATTAAAGTAGCATTTTCAATAGCAAATTTATGTTATCTAATAAATAATATACGACCTTCATGCGTAGTATTAATTATTAACCACATTTTAAATAAATCGTAAAAAAAAATGTTATACATTTTGCAACCGCTGACTGTAGCAGCACGACAGTGAACTGAATCCTACTACATGAACATTCGTAAGAAGGCAGCGACATAACAATGGCCCGCATGTACACAAGACAACACAGCTCTCCATTTTGCATGTACACAATTTCTTTGTGGTCATACTAATACCTTGCACTTCAATGAAATTTTAATATTTTGTTCAAAGTGAAATTTTTTATGCAAAAAATAAGTAAAAAGGTAAATTTATTTGTTTTAAATTGTCAATTGTTATTACAAATGATATAGTATATAGCTATTTTATGCTTTTATTTCTAAAATAACGTCAGGTTTGTTAGAGCTTTGAATAATTTTACATATTAGTGGCATCACCACTCTTCCTCATCTCTCTACCTTCAATTCCACTGTCAACGCTACTGTCGTTGGCAAATATAAAAAAAAGTTAGCGAGAACGACAACTGTCGGCCTGCAGTCGTGTAGTCGTGCAGCTGTCAAAATAACTGTGTCCAAAAGAAAGTGTGTATTTTAATATTTGACAGCTGTCGGTTGCTGTCTGTCGCGAGCATTCCGTTCAGCACATTAGATGCGAGCAAACAGAAAACAGCACGATCATACGAACGATCGAGCCCCCCACCCGGTGGCTTCAAACCACAACTTATTCAATGTGGGGGTTGAGTTTCCTGTGTTATTTATATTTACATATTAAACATGTAAAATAAGTATGAGCACAGCAAGGGATATGTCAATTGCCTTACACAACACACAGAACTCAAATCCAAATGAGATGAACTGATGTGATCATAAATAGGCATATTAATGCATATAAATTTCAGTATAAACTGGCATTTGCATTTATGTAGTATATGCATTAAAAGACGTGGAAGCATATATACAATATACATATGTATAAATCATTTCTATACATGAATATTGATCTGGCAAACTAGAACCACTATACATAATACTACATTTTTGTTTAGCATGTTTTATTTAAATAATTATTATAAAATTCGAAATTGTCTAGAGATGAGTTGAGGAATTTTAGGTAGGACGCTCTGCATACGAAGAACATGTATTTCTATATGTTCCTACTTACTTAAAACTAACTACATATACATTATCACAAACAAAAGTAAAGAAGGCAATATATAGATAATTTTACGTTGCGCGGATAAGATATCACAAAGTATACAGGCATTATATCAAAAATATGTATATAGCAAAAATTTTATAATTGAAATTTATTCGTCATCAACAAACTTATAAGCGGGTGTTGCGTTCAAAAAACTATTGAAACCTTGCGAATGACTAATCAAATGCACTATATAAAACAGCATCTACATATATGTATGTACATTTCGATCAAGCTGTAATTGCCTTTGTTTTCAACTTCTTTCTCCGACATTGAACTCACTACATTATAAAAAGTAGAAAGAAATAAAATACAAGCTCTTAACACTTCTTTGTTGAGCCAAGTGTAGTAAGCACTTAGAGCATGAAAAAGCAAGAACTCAACATGGAATTTTTAAACAAGAATGCTATTGTCGCCACGAGAATATATATATAAAGTATATCAGCACACAGTTAAGGTATTTCGCTAGGCTGAAAAGGATAGACCAAACATCCCCAATATATAATATGTATTATACTACCCACAAACGGATTTACAGGCAATAATATGTAAGCATGCTGAATAAGAGCGGCATACGCTGCATTTGTGTATTTTTTTGTAAAGCATGTTGTGTATTCGTAATTGTATGTAAACAACCCACCTCCTGCATACCCACCTCTAACTTTTGCATATTTTGACCTGCTATGCCTTGTGTTGGGTCGTGGCGACAATGTACTCTTTCTGGGTTACGCTTCTATAGATGTCAATGAGCTATCGCTAATAGGATTAACCATAAGGAAGTAATTGTGTGAACAAAAATACTAAAGTTAATTGCAAGCGTTTGTTCATTAATTACATAAAAATTACTAATGGAAAATCACTGCATTTGCAGGGTAGCTTAGAGATAAACTCACCTGAGCGAAGGTTTTATGTGTAAGTATATCGTGTTTAATATGTGCGTTATGTTCAAAAAAAACTAAAAATATTTTAGGCGAAGTTTACACTTTGTACGACCTACAATGCGATTACAAAAACTGTTAGCAAACACTTTAAAAATCACACAGAGCAACTAGCACACAAAAAAATCCGCATATGACTTGACTATGCCTTGTTTATTCGTAGAGACAAAACGTCATCATTGCTTAGTTTTTAAGAACTTCGTTTTATCTTACTACTTTCACAATTCCACATAAAACAATTGGTACATAGGACTTCTAAATATGCATATAGCTATGATGCAAAATATGTTAATTATTGAAATACTAAACGCGTTCGCCCATTTTTATTATGTCGGTTATTTCTTTTTTTCCTTACTGACGACTCAACTTTTTTCTTTTTTGCACAATTTCCATTCCACTCTTTTTATCACACAGCTGTGTTGCTATTATTGCTAAACAATTTTATTTTTGGCTTACACTGGTTTTTGTTATCATCAGTTTTTTATCGACAGTATGATTTATATGATAGATTCCTCCAATACTCTTCTAAAAAAAAAACTTAATTTGTTTTACGGATAACAAACTTCCCGTTGTGGAAATAATGGACAGACATGAAACGAAAATTTGCAAGAATAACCATTCACAATGAATTGTGTCAAAATATGCTGTCAAATTGGAGATAATGCAAACTAAATGTAGAAGAAGAACTATATGTAGATGCCGTTTAGTTATTATTAAATGTTTATTTATTGAAAGCTGGAGTGGTATCTCAATGATTGTATCGGCAAATTTTCTTTGAGTTTTTTAAAATGATCTTAGATAACTTTATTCAATTGTAGACACAAATTATCAATAACATTGATTATTAATGGTTAAATCCATGTATCTTTGGGCTGCTCTCATATGGGTCATTACATATTTCGAACATATGCTTACTTATATATACTTTGCAAAAGTACATTACAAAAACAATAAGCGGCGATAACCTCAGTAACCCGACTGCTCTGTTAATCGTGACTTAAAGGAAATAGTTGCTTAAAAAGTACACTGAATTTATACATAACGGGGTATCGAAATGTGATATTATGGTACGAAAGTGTTGTTTCTTATGCTTATTGTCGGCACAAACTAGTGTAATATTGTCCGAATTATTGCCTGTTATACTGCCATTAATTAGTTATATGTTTTATATATTATACGAATAGTTATGAGAAAAACTTTTAATTTGTAATAATAATAAAATTTCATAAAGCATATTTAACGATGAAGCAATAAAAAAGTTTTTTAAATAATGCTTGAATTGTTTTAACTTTTATTTCAATTCAAGCACTCTGGTCTATACAACTCTGTGTCTGTCTTCATTTTGTTTTTGTCTTGTTTCAAATATTTATTTGAAATTTAAGAGGGGAAAACTAGTTGCAATTGGAATTTTAGGCATAATTTGTATGTATAAAGCTTGAGTTACATATTTTTAATTCTAAAAACGAAGCTGTGTATTTTCTATGTAGCTTCAGAGCTCGTTGGTTATATATAAAATCAGTGAACTTGGATTCTTAGTTGTTTGGAAAACTTACTTAATAAATTTGCTTGTTGGATTTATTACAATGGGTGACTACAAGCTACTCAATAAGGAGTTAGTCGATGCTAATAGAGAATTAAAACAAACTATTGCAACATATCAAAATGAATTGGTTTTAACGCGTGCGGAGTTAATGGAACAGCATCGCATACGCGTTGAGGGCGAGCGCGAATATCGTGATCGCGTACTCTCATTGGTAGCACATAATTTTATGGCGTTAATGCGTGATATCGATGCCAACGTAAATGTACAAGAATTACTGGGTTGTAACAATTGTGGACAAAACTCAAATTACACCAATGGTGCTAGTGCCAAAAGTGATAGCGCCAGTTCCAGACGAAGAAGCACACATCTTGTCAGAGAATTTCGTCGTTCTAGTRCAGTGACCCGCCAAAATAGTATACAGTTCTCGCCAACACGACGACCATACGAAAGTCATGCTATTATTGAGCAAACTGAAACCAGTAAATTAGAAGAATCTGAATCTGGTAGTGATATGGATTTGGAAAACTCAATAACTGAAGAGAATGTAATTGATGTAGAACGCGAAGAGAGCTACGAAAATGCAGATTTGCATTGTATAAAGGAAGCCAGTGAAGAAGAATGTGACGAAAATGACGGTAAAAAGGGTACAGAAGTTGATAAACGGAATAGGCAACCAATCAGAGATATATCCAATATTCACATGGAGCAAGTCGAAAACAAAGGATATTATGTCACAAAACGTGGAAAAGAGCGTAATCGACGCAGCGACAATGAAAATTCTATAGAAGTTCCACGTAATGTGGAAGTTGGTATGTATTGAAATTGTCGCAAATGCATACGATTTTTATAAAAAAAAAATTATTATTTTAGATGGCATGGAAGTAGAGGATGATTTGATTCAGGCAATGAACCAATCGTTACATGTTTCGGACAGCGAAATAACAGATAATAATGATAAGTGGAAAGAAATGAATAAAGAAAATTTTAAACGTCAAGTTGTAGTGAAAGTTAAACGTATGCATGAGCCACAACCGGTTGTGGTACACTTTAACACTGAAGGTGAGTCTAATGCGTGAAATATTTTTGTTTGAACAAGTAATTGTAACATTATTTTGCAACATTTTAGAGAACACAATTATGCCAGAATATGAGATATCAGTCGAAAACATAAGAAATGATGGTACGTATATTTTATTATTTTTGGGGATTATACAAGTATAATAACAATGTTTATGCTAATAGAGTTAAGTTTGGGTATAACCCAATTTTCTATGGGTAATTTCTTGGAAGCATCCTGCAGTACGCCATGTCATGGCATGAAAGCAACAATGGCAGAGGCAACGACAGATGAAACCAATTGCGATGGCTCATGTAGTGTGTCAGCACAGACAACAAGCCTATGCATGCGACCATCACGCAGATGTGCGCCAACAACTTTAGCGGAACCTAGTTTAAGAGTAAAATTACGCAGCGACAGTGGCAAAAGGAAAGGATCTACGAAGAAGCGTTAAATATTATTTAGTTATTAAAAAGTTAGGCAAGATTCTTTTAATAATATTGTCATAGTCATTAGTTACACTCATGATACTGCTTCGTATTTATTTTTCAAGTAGTTTGTGTTAGCTGCAATTAAAATTCTGGGGAGAATTTGTAATAATAAAGCTTGAATTTACATTTTTTATTCTAATAATTGAGCATTTCTGTATGAGTACAGAGCTCCATCAAGCTTAAAACTAAATAAACTGATTTTTTCTTAGCTATTTATCATTGCTATATAACATACATTTATTTTTAAGCGTTGGATGTTTCAATTAAGTTTATGTACTCTACAGATAAATAATAAAAACGTTGAGTTTCTAAAAATTTCTCAATTAGTTTCACGTTATAAAACAAACAAGTGACGAAATAAGTCGTTTGCTAGTATTGATCGTGGTTTAAAAGCACTAGTTGCTAAATAAAGAATACACTGAATTTATGAATAACGGAGCTAAGAAAAGGAACCGTTGTAGAGGTACCATTGTATGAAATTGTTGTTGCTTATTCCTATTATCGGCACAAATGAGAGTAGTATTGTGTATTATCGAATTTATTGCCAGTTATACTGCCATTACTTTGTTATAAGTTTTATACATTATATTATACGAATACGTAGAAAAAGTTTTAATTTGTTCTAATATGTAAATTTCATAATCCACAATTTAGGAAATTTAATATTGAAGTAAGAAGTTATTTGAAATTAAGCTTTTAACATTTATTTTTATTCCATCACTTCCGTTTATGAAATCCTGTGTCTGTTTATACTTTGGTTTGTACTTGTTTCAAAAATTTTTTGTTTGATTTGGGAATAGGAACAATAGCTGCTATTGTAATTCTCGGCAAGATTTGTAAGTATAACGTTTGAATTCCATATTTTTATTTCTATGAACTAAGCAGTTTAATTTCTATGCAATTTCAGGGCTGTGGTTTAACATAAAATAAGTGAATTTGGATTCTTAGCGATTTGAAGCATTTTTTTAATAAATTTGTTTGTTGGATCTAAAACAATGGGCGACTACAAGCAACTCAATAAGAAGTTAGTCGATGATAACAGAGTATTAAAACAAACCATTGCTGCATATAAAAACGAATTGGGTTTGATACATGCCGAGTTATTGGAAGAGCATCGTATACGTGTTGATAGTGAACGTGCATATCGTGATTGTGTGCTCTCGCTGGTAGCACACAATTTTATGGCATCAGCGCGTGACATTGAAGCTAATATTAATGTGCCAGAATTAGTATATAATAGCAGTTATGAAAATTTATGTTCAAGTTGTACCAATGACCCAAGTACTGAAAGTACCAGCTGCAGGCATAGAAGCACAAATCTTGTTAGAGAATTTCACCGGTCAAGATCGTAATTTTCCTTACATGTAATATAAATACTTTTCTTGAAAAAAAAAAAACAAATACATAAGCCGTTTCTTATAATCAAATGTAATGCAAGAGATGAATAGCTTACAATATAGTATTTAATTTATCAAATATTGGGAATACGTTTTATTTATTTTTGCGGTGTGACGATTTTAATTAAGCTTGAAAATTGTTGAATAAAAATTTCATTTTGTTTTGAACGGTTGTCTGTAAATAACTAGAAGAAAATGCCCAGCATTAAATACTCATAATATTTAGATATTACAAAATAGCGATAGCAACAACTAAAAATATTTTATAGCTTCTTTTAGGGGTGTGTATCCGCGCCTGTTTTGACCCATAATATTTTTATATACTCGTAAGAACGGTTGTACATAAACACAACGCATGACAGCTTCATTACCGCACCAAAATTACAAATTTTATTTCAATATTATTGTTTTATATTTTTTGAAACACTGTAAATAAGGTCAATAAAGTGTCGCCAAGAATCGTAATACCATAATTATCGAAAATATCGACTACTTAAATTGGCGTTACACAAAAGTCCAATAAGTTGACAAACACACATAACAATATAGGTAGCTTACATACAAACAAACACATTTGAAACCCCATTGCGCTGGGCATGACTACAATGACGAACATAACCACAGACTTACACATTCCATCTATGCACATAGACATTTTGTAGGCTCTAAACAACTTCGATTTTGCCAAGACAACAATTTATATGGTCGACTGTTTGCGCCGTTGCCACATCAGGAATGTGCTGTGTGTTTTCATTTATTTCAGATATTATATTTTGAATTTTTGTTAATATTTGGCGTGACTCATTCGCAGGCAATTGTGAATCTGGTTGATTGTGTTGCTCTTCAAGCGCTTCACTAGCTTCTACAATCAAAGTCGTGTTGGTATCAATATTACCGTCATTTGCTATGACACTTGAGTGGTGTTTTTTTTGTAGGATCGGTATGCTCTGCGGCATATCTGCGTGTAGACTATTCACTAGATTATTAAGTATGCCTATTCGGTCGCGCAATTGCTCACGTTCACGTTGCAGGAGCTGCATTTGTGCAGCTTTTTCGTACTCGCGTTGTTTTAGCATGCGTCTTTGTGTTTGATACAGCGTTATATATTCGCCAATAGTCTCAGTTTCGCTTTGCAGTTGTAGTACTAAATGTTCCAAGCGTTGTTTTTCATCAGTTAAATCGGCCACCTGTGACATGAGGCGTGTGAAGCGTTGCTCTAAACGCTCGACAGCTTCCTCGGTCGGTAGGTATGGTGTGCTAGTGTTGCTGCTGCTTGTGGATAATTGCTTAACATGTTGGTGATGGTGCTGTGAATGTTTATTCTCATTATTGAGATTGAGTTCGTGGTCGCTACTATGCTCGTCATGATCATGATTGTGTTCGTGATGATCATGCTCTTGTTCATGATGATGCTTATGTTCGTGATAATTATGCTCGTGTTCGTGATAATCAGGCTCGTTTTCGTGGTGATCATGTTCGTTATAATCATCTTCATGGATATGTTCATGTTCGTCATTACAGCCGTTGTATCGAGGTTCGTGCAATTCATCGTTGGGCTCGTGCGAATGATTATGTCCGTCCAACTTCTTTCCCTGAAAATAGCATAAATTAGTACAGAAACACTGAAATTTTTCTTATTTTACCTGTCGTTGCAGTCTCCATTGCAACGCTGCCGCTTTGTTAGTTAGTTCCATATTCTCATGTGAGAGTCGTATCATTTCTTCGTCCTTATATTTGAAACGCGCATCAATATTGTGAAGACGTTCTTCCATTTCATTGTAGTTTGCGCGCATTTCACGATTGGCATGCTCTTCAGCATCCAATTTATTCATTAAATCCGCTTTATCATTTGTCAACTGTACGAAGCGCAACTCCAACTCATCTAGTTGTTTTTTTAGTTCGATGTTTTGAGCAAGCGCGCGGGAAGCTGCAATTTTGTCAGATTCCATTGTGGCTAATAACTTGATTTGGTCGGGCTGTTCGGAAGCATAATTTCTCACATGTTCCTCCAATTGATCCAATCTGGTTTGCTTCTCTTGTAGTTCGCTGCTGAGGATTTCTATACGATCTTCTTGAGATTTAATTTTCAGTTGAAATTCATGACGTTCCATTTCGTAATCGCCAATTTGTTCTTTTAGTTTTTCAACCTCTTGGACTGGCGCTTCACTGCGCGTTTGGGATTCCTAATTATAGCATGTTAGTACCATTGTATATAAATTTGTACACAACGTAAATTATACCTGTTCTTTCCCTTTTCTCAAGTGGTCTTGTCGGCTTATATTCCTTTGTATGTCCTTTTCAAGAGCACCTATATGATCCACTAGTTGACGTTCACGTTCTTGCTGCTTTGTGTATTCATCCAACAATTCAGAATTCTTTTCGCTCAAATTGCTTAATTCCGAATTTAAATGTTTTACATAACTCTGATATTGACTGCTTGCTTGCTCCTTATCGTATGTCAGCTGCTGCACCATAGCCTGTAGTAATGTTTATATTTTTAGAATACTCATACTTTTTTACAAACGCTCTAACTCACCTGTAAGTCTCTGATCTGCTGTTCGTACATGAATTGTGTTTGCGTAAGTGTTTCTACACGATTATCGGGCTGATTCACATTTGCCTCATCCGACAGTTGGCGTATGCGCAGTTGTGCCATTTCCAGCTCATTAGCTTTTTCTTTGAACTGGTGTTCTACATCTGTGGCCCGTTGCTGCATTACATCTAGCAGTCGTTTTAACTCATCTAGATGGCCAGCTTGATCTTCTTGCTTTGCAGTCGCCTGGGCCAATTTATGTTGCAGCTCAGCATTTTTGTTACGCAATTGCTCTAAGCTTTGTTGCTGAACTTGATAGTGTTGTAGTAGTTCTTCTTGACGTTGTGTCGTCGATTCTAACTGTGTACGTAGTTCTTCGTTTTCCAATTCCCGCCCTCTACATAAAGAGCGACATTTATTCAAATCGGTTGTTAACGCAGCCTTTTCAGTTATAAGCACTTGAATTGCATTAATATTTTGAAGTTGCATTTGATCTGTTTTATATTCTCTTATCGCAGGCAATGCAACTGTTGGCGCTGCAAAACTATCCTGCGTTAATGCTGGAAAGTCCTGCGTTGTTGTTTGGAAGTAACTAGCGGCAGTGGGAGGGGCTGGCGCAGACAAAGAAAAATCAGGAGTAGAAATAACTTCTGATGTATTTACTGCTATCTCTGTAGATGCTGAAATATCCGTCGCAATGTTAATGTTGGCTGACGTTTGCATATTAGTGCTTGTTGGCTCATGTTCATTGTTAGATACATCATAATCGGATGCTTCAGATATGTTACTCGAAATACTACTGCCACCAGCGATGCTATTGCTATGCGATTCTGTAGGTGCTGAATTTGTATTTTCCGCAGTGCCACGTTTCTGATATTCCCTCAACTGCAAATACGTTTTCTTTTTTTGTTACACAGATCAATAAAAACAACACCCAAGTTCCCCACAACACAGCACAAATACACACTTATAAGTATAAACAGCGAAATAACACTGAGGGACTTGTCGGTGTGACGTGTCATTTATGTTTTTACCTTTTTCCTTGCGGCAGCCAACTTTTGTGCCTTACTCTCCTTTGCTTCTTCTCCTGGCATAGTGTACTGTTGGGGCTCTTTCTTCCAAAATATTTACGTTAAATCTACAAATCGTGCCAAATTTCTGAGTTCTCAAAAATCCAATCGGAAAAATAAATATTGGACTGACACTTTGACTCCTCAAAATAGTCAATGAAAAATTAATTCACAGTGATTTGGTTAACATCTAGATAGGTATGTCTCATTAGTCCAAAAAAACTTTGAGTCTGTTAAATAAATTTACACTGAGTGCCTATTGTGAACTTGCAGCAAATTAAATAATAGACGATGGTCTGGATTGATTTCATTTATCTGAAACATCATCTATATTAACATAATAACAAACTAATAATACAGACGAAGCCTTTTTAACAGGGTATTTGGGAAGCAGTTACAGTGAAATTTCACATAAAAGGATCAATACACGGCACACATATGCGTTCGTTTGTATGAAATCGTTTTGCCATACACGACGTACAAATCCATTTTGCGTTCGTTCTTCAAACAATGAATATGTGCGACAACCAAGCGGAAAATTGTTGGTCCGCGATATTTCCTATTCGGCGACAAGAGAAAAATGAGATTTTTTGTGCACACGGCGCCATACACGACATACATACATGTGTGCACACCGATCGTAAAAAATCAAACATTCACAATCAGTCGCACATATACCGATGGAGCGCACATGTGTGCCGTGTATGATCACTTTAAGTGGAAATTGACAGGACCTGCCTTTCAGTCCTATAAAAAGATTGTCCTTAATAAACATCAATAAGGCCGGGCCTACGAATGTGTACAGTTAATAGGGCTTTCACTGATGAGTTGGTTCTCCGATTTTCCGACAGATTTTCAAGAATATAATGAAAATATACAATTTTAATCTGATTCGATTTTAAACATTTTAAAATACACAGCGATATACGAGTACGTGTTTTTCTCTAGAAACTGTAAATAATCGTTATTTGAAGGATATCATTAAGGTCTATCCAACACGGTGTGAGAGAATAAATATATATCGAAAATAAATATATTATAGTCTTTAGTTTTAATACTACTATATTAATAATATAATTGTACAGCCAGTTTATAACATTAATACAGTTATTTTTATCTATTTGTGTCTGTAAAATTAATCTTTAAATTTCACAAAAACTATTTATCGGTTTCCGCACTCAATAAAATGCATTTTTTATGACTTAATTAATTGTTGACAGCTATGTCATAATTTTACAGTATGTAAAATGCAATTTTAAGAACAGCTTGATGTATTTGAAGTATTTTGTTAAAACATAGAAAATTTACTGTTAAGGTTCAGCTTCAACATTTCAGAATTTGGTAAAAGTTCGAATAGTTTCAATTGATAGAAATAAAAATGTATTTCTATTTCATAATTTTTAACCTATAACTGACACTTATTAGAATAATTATTTTCTTTTTGACATTTCCGTTGTATTAATTTTTCATCATTTAAAATAGGCGTGATTATAAGATTATCATTTAAGTAAACAGCTATCAACTTGGATTCAGCAACATTATCTAAATTTGCCAATTGATTATGTATTGAAATAAGCAATTAAGAATATAAAAAATCTTCATACAAATTATTTGTAATTGCTAGTAGCATTAAGCTATTGCAAGTTACTCTATTGTGAACATATTTCATGAATGAGTTTGTAGTATGTGTTATGTGAGTGCCATCCTAAAATGTTATCGTTAATATTCGATTTGAATTTATTGAAAAAGCTGATGTTAAATTGATTTTAAGTTAATTTGTAATAAGTACTGGTATTTTTATCATTTGAGATTAACTGAAATTTTTGCGTTGGATATAAATCCGCGATTTGATGGTACGGACGGATAGAGGAGGTCCTCAGAATTAAAAAATGTATACACATTCGATCTTTCGAGATATTTCACTTTAAAGTTCCACAATTTTATATGCAATTCACTCTTATTTTGTTTTGTTTTGTTTTTCTTTACATGTCATAACAAATACCAGTAATGCCACATATTGCGTTTTGAAAAAACTATTAAACAATTTTCTGTTTAACATATATAGAAATACACAAATGTTTTTGTATCTTATGTTATTTGATAAAAAAAAATAAAAAATAATATTCCCTTATGTCGAATTACTTTATGCACTGGCGGCCTTCGGTCGTGCTTAAAAAAATTACCCTAATCGGTCCAACACCGAGGGGATTATAGTTCTTTTGTGTCGAGAAATACTGAAAAATTTTGCATTCAATAATAACTTTTTTCATTTATATCTCTAAATATGAAACAGATTTTTGATTATATTTTCAGGACACAAAGTATGGCAACACTACTATTTGTCATAAATGTAAACACACAAATCTCTTGAAACTTTGAATGTGCAAAATAGTTTTTAAAGTGTATTTATTTTCTTAAAAAATATACAATTAATGTAAATTTTTGATACATACGAATGTGTACAGTTTAATTAAATATATATTAATTAAAAAATGTGTAAAAAGAGGGTTAAACATAGCGAAATAACGAGCATTGCTTTTACAAATTTTTGAACTTTGAAGTGAAATATCTCGAAAACTACGAGTCTGAGGACGGTATATGTGCATACATTTTTTAATCCTGAGGACCTCCTCTATTCATCCGTACCACCAAATCGCGGCGCAGAAAGAATCATAATATTACCCTTTATGTCAATATATAACTATAAGAGCATATCCAAAGAGACAACTTTTCGGAGATCGGATTGCATTCTGACGATAAAGTTTTATTTGATAATATGAAAGTAATGACTGACGACAGTCACATTTATACTATGGTTTATCCATTTCTTAATGTTTTTCTATATTATTTTTATCTATGCAGCCACAACAACTTTCAATTTTTCGCATCTGTTCAAAAAATAAAAATGCACTCCTTTTATACATATGTATATACCAAATCAAAGTAATACAAGTTTTATTCATTAATTTAGTGGCATTAATTAATGCTACCGCAATTAGTTATTATTAACTATGAATATTTACTTATAAAATATAATAATCACTTTTATTTTTAATAATTTTTATATTTTGTTTATACATGCTTGGGACCATATAAATAAAAAACAAAATTTTAATAGTTTGATGTTACTGTAAAATTTTTTACTAATAGCGCAGAGCTTTTATGGGTACAGAAACGAAAATGTGACAAAAGGAAGACTTCTTAAATGTAATAAACTAAATTCATACCACAAATACACCTTTATCTTTTTATATTCTGTATAGTATTTAGATTCCCGTGAGTATGGCTAACAATTTTGCCTTGGAATGAAGAGCAATTATGGATATCAATAAATTTATAAAACTATATTCAGTGTCGAGAAAATATTCTTCATTCAACAGAGTGTGTACTTCTGTATGCATTTCAGCTACATTCAAACTTTTCTTTTGCATTGGTTTATGGCAGACAACAGAAAGTTTGCAAAATTATTTAGATTAGATTTTCGTAGGCAGTCGCCATTTACACTCAAAGCTTTTCTGGCGTAATATTCTCGCTTAAATACGTATATCGTTTACAACTATTGCGCTTAAATTGAAAAACTTATAGAGATTTAGCTGATTAATTGATCATTACCACAATTGTTCTCTATTTCTCATTATAATATTTATCAATTTTTAATGGAAAATATTTGTGCCAATTTAATGGCTTGGTTTTTCAAATACGCATAGCCGGCTTTGCCAGCCCTTTTAATGGTTTCATTTTTATTCAAAGTTGTTTGCTGTATATGGCTTGACACTAATTCGCTGGCATTGCCACTCGTTGCACCATTAGTAGCACTCACTGAAGCAGCATTATTAGGAAACATATTTCGCAATACATAATTGAACCCCAACGCCGCTTTATTGCAATTAGACTTGAAACGTTCAATGCCAAATGCGCGTATAGCACGTGAAAACCCAAATACTTGTGAAGTAACGGAGGCACGCCTTACAGCCAAAGTTCGCCCATCTTTCTGCTCGCTATATTCGACTATTTCATCCACTTTCTGCAAATAGAAAAGCTTTATATATTATTGCATCATAATGCAATTAGGGCAGTGGTGTGAACAAGTGGCGAAAAAAAGAAAATGTTTTGAATGCAGGAATTATAGATTTGGTTCATTGAGAAATGTACGCATCAATTAGTTTTCATATAAAATACAATAGCACATTGTGCTACATAAGCTTTTTCATTCTAATGTTTCTGTAAAAAAATAAATTGATCTTCAAGAGTTGTTACTATTATTGGAGTACTACTCATCTCAAATATTTTTATTTTTTTATAGCCGTGAAAGATCAAATTAATAATTTAACTAGAAGTACTTCTCTTTTCTCGTTTATGTGAATATTCAAACAAAACAATTCTACAGAACATGAAATAGGCATACAAAAAATTTAAATCAATTTCAATGTTAAAAGAAAGCGAATATAATGCTTAAAAAGAAACAATTATAAAAAATAACAAACCTATGCCGTCTATTTGAAAAGCCTTAAGAACCGGTTCATAAAGAAGTAAACAAATAACAAAAAAAGAAAAAACGTACTAAGAAAAATACTGTGTTGGGGCTTTGTTCGCGCATTGCTGCTGGTAGTTAAGCGATAATAATAAGACTGATATTTATAAATATATTACCTTTTGCACTCACCATTATCTTTTTGAATCCAATATTTCGCGTGAAGGTAACTAGGGTTTTATTTTTCGGATCTAAAATCGAATCCTCAACAATTCTCACTGGTGCATTATTATAAAAACGTTTACCCCATTTTGGCACTGGATTTGTTTTGGATAGTAAACGGCGAGAATATAATTTACCATCACGTACCTCACGCTCTATTGTGTCTTCCGTAAGAACATGTGTACTGTAATTTCAGTTTTATATATAGTATATTTATATCTATATCTATATATCAGCTTATTTTACTAACCTTGAGGGATTGGGATAGCGATTCCAGTAGGCTTGTACGACTTGCTTCCAACTGTAATCAAATACTGTCTCAGTTGTACATTGCGACGCAGTAACCATGATTCAACATTTGCAGTCAAACCCGAGAGATAAAATTTATTTCACTTTTGTTAATGGCAGCTATAAAATGTTTACTCCGGCTATCCCAGGAATACAATCAGATTAATTTATATCAACGAATAAATTTTATTAAAATAATTGCTTATCAGTAGGCCTCAGTGGACACATATACTTTTTACTACTACGCGTTGATTTTTTCTTTACTAATTTCTTGGGTGTCGTTACACTTGGTGAATATTCTCAAATGCAATGTTTCAGCAGCTGCCTCTTCGACCAACAAAAAAATTGCTATTTTCAAATTAAAAGTAAAAGTGCAATGCTATGTAGTATTAGTCGGCCGGCAAATAAGTGGGTGTATGCTACGCACGTTTTAATCAGCCCTGAACTAAAATTAATTTTTTTAATTTTACTTTTTTTCTAGCATAGAGAAGTTAAATATAGACGTCACACTGTTAACATACGAATAGAGAAAAAGAAAATGGTATCAATTGAATATTTAATTAGAGGGAATGCAGTTGTAGCAATTATATCTAGTTGATCTTACCTACCATGTGTAATAACTCTAGCAGCGAAATATATGTAGATCACGCGATCCACAATTTGTTCTATGGAATCATCAGCAATTCAAGTTTTACAAGTAACTCTTACACAATATTGACCCACTGTACAATTGTCCGATTTTTTTTATATACAATTTTGTATACGTTTACAACTGTTTTTTTTTTCTTTTTTACAACAATGATGTTTAAAATAAATTAGTAGAAATTTCCGAAATTTCATTTATTTATTTTTTATCACTTCCTCATTTCTTCATCCTTTGTTTGCATTTTTATCCTTTACCTTTCACAAAACCAACCAACGGCTGCTGCCATACTATTTCCAATCAGAATGAAATCGTGCAATATCACACATTCCTCATAAAAACCAAATGAAAGAAATACATAAAATATCTAAAAAATAATGCAAACACTAAAACAGTAGAGTGAATGCGACAACTATTTATATACTTCATAATTATTATTTTTTTAATGGATTTTAATGATGCCGTATTGTAAAAGTATTACCTATATTTTTATTCCATCGTTTATGGAAAAACAAAAAGCATTAACTTTTTTGAAAATATTAATATTGGAAAGCATTACTGCAAGTTAAGTTCTAAAGTTTTGGAATTAATGTTATAATTTTCTCTGATACAAAATTATGCACGATTTTATTACATTAAGTTAGCACTTCTAAAATTTTAATATTAATATATATATATTTTACTTCGGGTCCATCATTAAGTGTTAAAAATGTTTTGGAATTTAATGAAATTTGTTCTGCAGTAGTTTAATTTTAATTAATTTTTAATTTGCCAGCAACAATTGTGTAACTGTTTTAGCGCCATCTATTGGCCAATGATTTCAATGGGGAATAAATTAACGGGTAAACAAATTGCGAGTATTTGATTATGTGCACACAAATTTAAGATAATTTTATTCAAATTATACAGATGTTTATATAAAACATTTTCTTAATAAAATACTTTATTCAATACATGTCAAAATTACATTAATCCACCATACCATAATGTGGGGAATTGTGGTTTTCTTTTTCTGCCTTCTATTAAATTTAATAGAATTGTAGCAGCTTTGAAAAGTGATCATTTTGTTCAAACGTAACTTAGGTCGTTGTTACTGAAAAAATAAATGCTATACGCACTATTTAATACTATTTAATTAAAGCATTCGCGACACAGGTAGAGTGATTACAATTCAATTGTATCCATATTTTTGTGTTTTCTCTTAATAAAATACAATAAAAATAATAGCTTGACTATCAACAAACAAGTAAAATTAGCTGCTCTATAAAAACCATCCCTTACATACATATAAATTTTAAAAATTTGTATTTACTTTTGTATTAGCTGGTTCAGCGGTCTTGTGAAATCAGCAGCTGTTTCAGCAAACACAAGTAAGTTATACAAAAAACATCGATTTTCTTGTTATTTATGTGTTTCTTCTTTTCAAAAATTAGTTTATCAACTGCCTATTGCTTCTTAGAGCCGAGTTCTTGGTGCCACTTTTCATACAATTCAAATGCATTATGTGAGGAACACGATGCTCGCGACAGACTGCAGCAGCACTACAGTGAACTGAAAATGGCGTTCTGAATCCTACTACATGAACGTTTGTGAGAGGGCAGCAATAATGGCTGGCATGTACACAAAACAACGCAGTTGTCCATTTAGTGGCATCACCACTCTACCTCATCTCTCTATCTTCCATTCTACTGTCAACCCTACTGTCGTTGGCAAATATAGGATCAAATTGAAGTTAGCGAGAACGACAACTGTCGGCCTGCAGTCGTGCAGCTGTCAAAATAGGTCCGTCCATAAGAACGTGTGTATTTTAATATTTGACAGATGTCGTTTGCAGTCTGTCGCGAGCATTGTATTCCACAGATTATACTTCTAGTAAATATATACATGTGTACATGTATATGTATGTATATAAATTTGTCGGTTTGCACAGAAGGTTTTTATTTATTGCAGCGCAAGCAAATGTGCAACCGGCAAACACTTAAGTGTGTCCTCCGCAATTATTTAATTATTTACTTATTTTTGTTTTGTATCTTTCTTTGTACATTCACTAAACACTTACTTACTTTTTCTTTTCCTATGCTTTACCAAGCCTGCCAACCTAATTGGAAAAGTACGCTTTCCATTCCATTCAGTTGTTGAGTGACTTTTTCCGAGCTTTGTTTATAGAAAACCTAACGGTAAAGTGCGTATATAGTATATACATGTATAAATTTTGTTTAAACTTAACTTTTGTTACAATAATAAGCATTAAAAAACGTAAGTGGCAAATATACATAGATAGAGAAATAGATACATAACTGAGGAATGCACTGCGACCATAGGTCTATTGTGCTACTGAAGTGGCAAATATAAGTCACCTATTATTTTTCCTACTACTTATATGGTTATTTGAATTAATGCATTAATGTGTGCGCTTATTAAATTAACTGAATGCTAATTTTTTATATCTTTATCTTTATTCAGCAAAACATATAAAAATCAAAGCAAATTTAATTTGTACTTAAAAAAGACGTTTAAAATGGTATATGCAACAAAAAAACTAAATCAGCTGGGGGATTAAATGCTCTTTATACGACAGTGCACAATGATATTGAAGACTTTTAAGTGCTCCTTTTACCTTGCCTACATAAATATATATGTACATATGTATGTATATGTTTACGTGGATTAGTTTGTATACGTTGAACTATAATATGATTTCAAGGTCGATGTAGTGAAGTGATTTAGCCTTTTAGGCTGCAAAACCCACAAAACGGCGGAAACCGAAAACCTATAAAGTGTCATAACTAAGCCATAAATAAAGATGAAATTTGGCACAAAGGATCGCATTAGGGAGGGGCATATTTCGACGTAATTTTTTTGGAAAAGTGGGCGTGGCCCCGCCCCTACTAACTTTATATACATATCTCGAAAACTAC